TTTTTTTTTTTTTTTTTTTATTCTTTTGAAGAGTGAGAAGGTGTGAGAAATCTTAGGCTTCATTGGTTGGCAGCAACATAATGGATTTTTTTTGTGTGAATGACAGGTCAGAAGCTATGTTGTCACTTGGTTCTTTGGAACAGCAAAGGTTATTTCAAAAAGTTTTTTTCATTATTGGCCAGAAAAGTGTCATTTTAGTAGAGAAACAAAACGTGATCTTACCACTAACATAGGCTGTGGGAAGTTTAGTTTGAAAGGTTGTCGTTCTCTCTCTCTCCCTCTCTGTCTCTCTCTCTCCTCTCCTCCCCCCCTGCAGTGCTTTCATATCTAGGACTTGTATGCTAAGGAAGCATCCACTACTGTGGGTGTTTATTTTGTTTTGAGTTTTTGTTTTAGATAATGATAACTATTAAACCATTTCTGTTTAGCTGGATGATAGGAATTTATAGAGGAAAGTGGCTTATGTAACACTTAACGACTTACAGTTCTGGCTAGCTCCCTCATTCATAGGACATCCCAAAAAAGGAGCAGTGCTACCCATAAGTAAAATATTTGGAAAAGTCATACTTTATTTTTTAAGGTTTTAATACCTCTACTATTGAACATCCTTTTCACAGCAAATAGTATAAATAAGCATTTTTCTTAGCAAACACAGTCTTGGATTATTTCACTGATCATTTCTTCCTTTATAAGATTCCATTCACATTTTACATTTATACCAATAATCTCAGGATTTTGAAAAAGACTTGTTTGTAAAGTTCTCTGCGTACTTTGTGTCCTCCAAGTTACCTTTTAAAAATTGTTTCTCTTTATCTCTTTCTTATATGTGAAGTTTTCTTTTGATGTCTTAAAATTTTGGCTATCTGCTAATAGGTAAGAGTGGAGAACTAAAGAGCTGATCTGGTACAATCTCCAGAGAAATCCCTTTCTAAAGCTTCCCTTGGAAGATGAAGGCCTGCTGCCAACTATCTGGGAGTCAAAAACCAGCTTTTGAAATGTTACTCAAAATCTAAGGCGTCCTTCTGAGCTGCATTATACAGTTTCTGATTAAATTTCTGTTACAGAAGAAAATTTATACTTTTTGCATAATTAACTTATCCTTTTTTCTCCCTTTTCTTTACAGCATTGACAAAATCTCTAAGATAACCTCTCCAGTATTAATAATTCATGGGACTGAAGATGAAGTCATTGACTTTTCACATGGCCTCGCATTGTTTGAGCGTTGCCAAAGACCTGTGGAGCCTCTGTGGGTTGAAGGAGCAGGACACAATGATGTGGAACTTTATGGGCAATACCTTGAGAGGTTGAAACAGTTTGTGTCACAGGAACTGGTAAATTTGTAAAACATTCTGTAAATTTGCATACTGGGTTTTCTTTTCTTGCTGAACTGCACTCTTTGGTAAATAACATAAAACCTGAAGGTTTTGTTTGCAAATCATGTCAGTTGCCTTCATAAATGTACAGGTAATGATTTGTTAACAGACTTAATGAAGGTTTTAATTACCATAACTAGAAACTGGAAATAACAGTATCATGCAGTCAGGCTATGTAATTTATATTTTTCTGTGAATTTTTTTTTAAAACATCAAAATGAGTACTGTATGAAATTTTAATTCTATAAAAATCAAATGCTGTAAAAGTATTGCCAAATGCTTTTGCATATCAGAAACATTTATAAATATTTTTAAACCTCAGTATACTAAATTTATCCTGGTATACAAATGTAATATTCTTTCAAAGCTGTGTATCTAAAGCAGTTCAAGTACTCAGAATAACTAAAAGAGTAAAAAAAAAATGCAAGTCAACTAAAATTGATCTACCCTGTTGTACAGGGATAGAGGCTTAAATGGTTATTTTACTGTAAAATACATTCAGCTTTCTGTTTCTCTGTTCATAATACATTTATCCTGAAAAGAAAAAGAAATGAAGTCTTAATTTTTATGCCATCTGTCAATTTACCAATCAGTTACCTTGTAAATGAGAAGTCATGATAGCACTGGATTTTAACTAGATTGGATTTATAAGTTTGTTACTCTGAGGCAACTACTTAAAATTTTCATTCAGTTATTTAAAAGGCAATTAGGGCTTTCAAGCCTGATTTTTGTATGCAATGTTGTTTTAAATTTGACTAATCTTACAGAATTGTAGTACTCTTCATCATATAAAAATCTGAAAGTTCATTAGTTCTTTATGACCACAACTAGACTGGCTATTTGGTCCTTTTTCATTTTGGCTATTACTGAGAATTTCATGGAGTTACTCCTGCACATAGGAGGTAAGAAAAGCATTTCACTTGTAAGTTTTATATTAACCAGTATAGTAAAAAATAAAGCTGACACACAAACTACGTTGCCTTTTCTTGAATGAATTCTGCCTGATTAAAACAATGAAAGCAAAAGAAATTTAATGGTATGTAGTTTAATTTGTAAATGAATGAATATTAAAATAATATACACTGTGGATATCTTTTAAGGCCTTATGTAGCTTTAATTGTTCTGCTTGTTCTGTGGTTATGTCTTAAGACTATAGTATATGATTCTCCTCAAAGTATATCAAGTATTGTGAATGCTTTGGTTCAGATGTGTCAAATTAACAGTAAAACAACAAATTTACCACTCAGCTGTGCTTGTTTGCCTTCTTCCGTGCTCCTCGCCCGTATAGTAGAAAAAGTGCATAAATACCTTCATAGGATATAGTTCAACAATATATTTTATTGATATATATATTTAGTTATATATATTAATGGGATTCTCTGTGATATTTCTGTACATCCATGCATTGTGTATTGATTCAATCCAAACTGCATTTTCCGTTCACACTCCTCATACCCTTCCCAATCATTATTCAGCATTCTGATTAATTTCTCAGCTTCCACAAATAAAAGGAAACATTCAGTCCAGTGTCTGGCTTACTTAATATAACATCTTCCAGTTCCATCCATTTTTGTACAAATGACAGGATTTCATTCTTCTGGCTGAGTGATACTTCATTGTATATATATAAAATTTATTTGAGTTATCTGTTAGTAGGCATGTATTTTGATTCCATAGCTTAGGTATTATGAATACTGTTCAACAAGCATTGGGTCTCTTTAGTATGCTGACTTCACTTCCTTTGGATATAAATCCAGAATTGGAATAGCTGGGTCATATGGTAGATCTATTTTGAGTTTTATTGTGAAATCTCCATAGTGTTCTGCATAGTGGCTGGATTAATTTATGTTCCCACGAACAGTGTATAAGAAATCCTTCTTCACATTCTCATCAGTCTTTGTTTCATAGTGTGCTTTAATAGTAGACATTCTAACTGGGATGAGATGGTATCTTATTGCAGTTTTGAGTTGCATTTCCCTGATAGTGATATCAAGCATTTTTTCATATAGTATATTTTTTGACCATTTGTATTTCTTCTTTTTCCTGTTTTTCTTCACCTTGTCTGCAGACTTGACCCCAGGGCCTCACACATATTGTTACTGTTTACTTCTGAGCTACTTCCCCAGGATATGCCAGCTGTATTTCTTTTGAGGAATATCTGTTTAGCTTATTTACTTATGTTTAATTGGATCCTTTGATTTTTCTGGTGAATTTTTTTTAACTTATGTTTTCTGGATATTAACTCTCTCAGGTAAATATTTGGTGTGTTGTTTCCTCCCATATCATTAGTTGTATCCATTAATTATTTCCTCTCCTGTACAGTTTAACTTGATGTAATCCCATTTATCAGTTTCTGCTGTTTCCTATGCTTTTTGGGTCTTGTCCAGAAAATCACTGCCTGTACACAAATGTCTTGAAGTATCTGTTTTCTTCTAGTAGTCAAATCCTTCACTTAGGACTTTGATCCATCTTGGATCAGAACTGAGTTTTGTACAGGGTGAAAGAGAATGGTCAACTCTTAACACTATCCTTTCTCCAATGTACTGTGTATCTTTGGCACCTTTGTCAAGAATCAGTTGACTCTTAAAAAAAAAAAAAAGAATCAGTTGACTCTAGATTGGTTTGTTTATTTCTGGGATCTCTAGTCAGTTCCTTTAGTGAGTGTTTCCATTTTTACGCCAATGTCATACTAGTTTTGGTTATTGTGTCTCTAGTATGTCTGGTAATTAGGCAGTATGTTGACCTCAGCTATATTCATCTGCTCATAACTATTTTGTCTGAGTTCCTGCTTCCATGTACATTTTAGGATTAAGCTTTCCAGTTCAGTGAAGAATGTCATATTTTGATGGGGATTCTACTGAATATATATATATATAGATCATTTTTGATAGTATGGACTTTTTAACAGTATCTTTCCAGTCTATATCAAAAGTCTGCATTTTTTTGTGTGTCCTCTTCAATTTCTTTCATTGTTTTATATTTTTCATTCCAAGTGTCATTCATTTCCTTGGTTAAGTTCACGCCTAGGTTTTGTGGTATTTTGTTTTTGGTGGTGATGAGGGGAGCCAGTACAAATGGAATTGCTTTCCTGGTTTCTTTTCCCACAAATTCATTATTGGTGTTTAGAAAAGCTAATGATGTTTGTGTTTGATTTTGGGTTTTTATCCTGCTGCTTTACAGAATTTATCAGATTTAACAATCTTTTGGTACAATATTTAGATTCTACATGTATAATCTGCAAATAAAGATAGTTTGACTTATTTATATGCATTTCATTTATCTTACCTAATTGCTCTGGCTATAAGTTCTAGGACTATATTGAATAAAAGTGATGAGAGTGAACAGCTTTCTTATTCTTGATCTTAGAAATGCTTTCAGCATTCAGTATGATGTTGGTTATGGGTTTGTCATATATATCCTAAGTATTGAGGTTCCATCCTTTTATACTGTACCTAATTTGTTTAGGACTTTCACTGTAAAGGAATGTTGAATTTTGTTAAATGCTTTTTGTGCATTTATTGGAATAATTATGGATTTTTCTCCTTGTTGCTGTGATGTATTAACATTTTTGGTTATGTTGAACCCATCCTGGGATCCTTGGGATGAGACTAACTTGATAGTGGTGAATGTTTTTATTATTTGTATGTGTGTGCTGTTGAATTCCATTTGCTAGTATTGAGAATTTTTACATCTGTGTTCATCAGGCCTACTGGTGTACAATGTTCTGTTTTGTTTTTGTCTTTGTCTGATTTTTGGTAACAGCAATATAGGCCTCACAGACTGAGTTTTGAAAAGTTTCTGTTCTTTTAATTCTTTGAAATAGGTTGAGAAGCATTTGTGTTACTCCTGTAAAAGTTTGCTAAAATTCAATAGTGAAATTATCCAGCCTCTGTTGGAAGATTTTCTGTTACAGATTCAGTCTTAGTACTTTTCATTGAGCTATTTAGAATTTTTATGTTCTCCTGGTTCTATGTTTGTAGGTCATATATGCCCAGAAGAAATTTGATCATTTAAGTTTTTCAGTTTGTTAACATGTCTTCTTAGTAGTCACTGACAATCCTTCGTGTTTCTGTGGTGTTAGATTTAATGTTTCCTTTTTCATCTCTGACATTATTTGGGTCTTTTTTTATTGGTTAAAGTTCTGTTAAGGGGGCTGGGTATTTAGCTCAGGGGTTCCAGCGCCTGCCTCACAGGCACAAAGACCTGAGTTTGATCCCCGGTACCAAAAAAAAAAAAAAAAAAAAAAAAAAAAAGTTCTGTTAAGGGCTTGTACTTTTGTTTTAATCTGTAAAACCAAGTTTTCTGTTGAGGATATATTGTTTGCTGTTTTTAGTTACTATTTTATTTATTGTCTACTTTGATCTTTTTTAATTTTTTCCTTCTAATTGTTTTGTTTCTTTTCTAAGTCCTTGGTTATTTTAAATTACTTTTTAATGTAGATACCTGCTGCTATAAACTCCCATTAGTACTGCTTTTGCTGTCATAAATTTTGGTATGTTGTGTTTCCATTTTCATTTAGGAATTTTAAAAATTTCTTAATTTGACAACTTGTTATTAAAAGTATGTTGTTCAGTCTCCATGTATTTGTATAATATATAAAGTTCCTCTTGTTGACTTCTGATTTCATTCCATTGTGGTCAGAAAATAGGATTTCAATTTTTAATTGTTTAAGCTTGTTTTGTGACCAATATACTGTATTTTATAGAAAGTTCCATGTCCTCCTGAAAATAATGTGCATTTTGCAGCTGTTGGATGAAATGTTCTGTTCAACATTCAGTCCATTTGATGTATAGTTTAACTGATGTTTGTTGTTTGTTTTGGGGCGGTCTGGATGATCTGATCATTGGTAAGAGTGGCATGTTGGAGTGTGCCTTTCTCTCGACACCAAATAGGGTCTGCTTTATAAGATTGAGTGCTGAAACATTAGGTGCATATGAATTTATATTCCTTGTATCTCGTTGAATTTATATCTTGATCATTTTATAATAGCCATGCTTGTCTTTTCGTATGGCTTTTATTTTCTATGGTATAAGTATAGTTCAGATCAAAGATTTCTTAATTGTGGTGCTGGGGATTTAGCTCAGTGGTTCCACCACCTACCTCACAAGTGCAAGGTTCCGAGTTTGATCCAAAAAAACAAACCAAACAAACCAAAAAAGACTTCTAAATTGTGTCATCACTTACTTGGAAATAGGTTTCTTTCTTAAGATTGTCTTGAAATGTATACAGCTGATGCATTGTATAAAATACAGCCCAGGATTTAACTGTTTTCTTCTATTACCTTTGAAAATGTTAATATTGATGATACTAGTTTATTATTTTTTTCATTGAACAAATAGTTTTATTGAATGCCTATACTATGTAAAACCCTGGCTGGGTGAGGGTAGACATTGATCATGCCCAGATGGCCTTCACAGAGTAGTTGAAGGAAGACACAGGCACCTCGTTACACAAATACTACTATTTCAGTAAGGTTAAGATAAAGGAGATTTTCCAGATATTGTAAAGGTTACTTTTAACAGAACCTCAGTGGTATGTGTGTGTATGTATGTATGTATGTATGTTTATTTTTGAGAGTAGGAAAAATTATTAAGAGACAGAAGGGGGACTGGAAAGTGGGTGGACTCACCCCCCTCCCTTTTTTTTTAAGAGTAGGAAAAAATTATTGAGAAAGAAATTGGTGTTCAAAGTGAACTTTGTGTGCATGGCCCAACCTGGTATTCCTGGGTAAGAGGAACACTATATGGAAGACTTGAAAAAGGAATGGTATATTTGAAATGTAAGAAGACTAGCCAGAAATCAAAGGAAAAGGGTGCTATAGGGATAAGATTGGTGCAAACTAATTAGGGATACAGTCATATGTGGCATTCTGGACTTTTATGTTTGTCCTAGAGGCAGGAGAAAAAGTTAACAGAGATGTGAAAGTATATTTGTTGAGAGTATAAGATGAAAAAAAATGTAGATTCTAACTTGCTAGAAATACCCCTTTGTTTAGAAAGTTAGTTAATTTTAGGGTGCTGAAAAATACATTGAAGAAATCTCTATACAAAGTATTAATACAAATCACATTTCATTAATTTTTAGTGAAAGGGCAATTACAATTTGAGTAAATTCTGAAGTGTTGGCAATGGAAAGTCCTATAAACTGAATCTCAAAGACAAAATTGATAACTAAGGAAGATAGCTTCAAATATTTGATTTGTGTGTGTGTTTTGGTTTTTTGAGACAGGGTCTCATTATGTAGTTGAGACTGACCTGGAACTCACTATGTAGCTCAGGCTGCTCTCAAACTCAGCGATCCTCCTGCCTCAG